TCCTCCTGTAGTAACACTGGGTCAATAAGAGATGATCTTTACTGAACCTCTAGGAAGAACAGTTTAGAACTGATAGAACTATCCAGTATAAATAAAGTTAGTTTAGTTTAGGTTTCCTCCTGTAGTAATACTGGATCAATAAGAGATGATCGTTACTGGGCCTGTAGGAAGAACAGTTTAGAAGTGATAGAGCTATCCAGTATAAATAAAGTTAGTTTAGTTTAGGTTTCCTCCTGTAGTAACACTGGATCAATAAGAGATGATCTTTACTGAACCTCTAGGAAGAACAGTTTAGAACTGATAGAACTATCCAGTATAAATAAAGTTAGTTTAGTTTAGGTTTCCTCCTGTAGTAACACTGGATCAATAAGAGATGATCCTTACTGGACCTCTAGGGAGAACAGTTTAGAACTGATAGAGCTATCCAGTATAAATAAAGTTAGTTTAGTTTAGGTTTCCTCCTGTAGTAATACTGGATCAACAAGACATGATCGTTACTGGACCTCTAGGAAGAACAGTTTAGAACTGATAGAGTTAACCAGTATAAATAAAGTTAGTTTAGTTTAGGTGTTTCCTCCTGTAATAACACTGGGAAAATAAGGGATCCTCTAAGGAGCTTAGAACTGATAGAGCTATCCAACTGTATGTAGAACGTAAAAGGATACGAGTTTGTTTCACAATGACCTCTCGTGTTGCTTTGTGGAACACCATCTGATAAAAGACGTAGACAATCTGCAATACCACTTCATCATCCTCTTGTTTGGCTAAAATGTTTAGAAAGTTTTTTAACCTTGGTGGAATGTAAGATGGGTTTTAGTGTGTGTCACGGGGCAACAGATGGTGGGCAATGTCAGAAATGTTGACACTTTGTAGGAGCAAGGAAATTATATAAACTACATCAAACTACATCCATCAATTCTATTTATTGTACGATACTACAGTACAAATAATGAAAATTAATAGTAGTCTCTCACTCTGATTAACTATTTATAACATTTATTGAATATTCTACTATATGACTAAACAATAAATATGGTACAACACATATATTACGAAAACCAAACTGACAACACAATTAGTAGATAAACTCAAACGCAAGAGCACAAACGGGACAAATAGTCCCATGCAAGGTGTTCCCCGCGTAATCTAAAGATAGGACAAAGCCAGTAAATGCTCCCTAAATATACAAATTTATACATATATTGTACACACTGCAAACTGAAGGAGCAGAATCAACCTCAAAAGTGCTACTAGTGAATTACCATTTAGTAAATCAATGAGTATTTGTGGTACGTCTTCTTCCGCCAGGAGAGCGGCACACGAGTCATCAGCACAAACTGTTCCAATCAAAATAATCACCTCCAACACCAAGTCATCTTCAGCTGAACCTGGTAAGGAAATCAATAAAGGCCCCAGTTACACGATATCAGATTCACTTTTTACGATATTAATATACCCCGTTCAAGAGAACATCTGCCGACAAAATTTCCCCCTTCAACAGTTTTCGTTTTATTTTGTCATATTATCGTGATTTTAAGTGTTAATATATTCCTGAAACCGTTAAATTGGATGTCGTGACAAGCGAATCCGGTATTGTGTAAGTGGGGCCTGAGTGTACGATCATTAAGGCGGTTTTCCACTAGGCGAAATGTTTCGACCGAATCGAATTTTTCTTTTGTCTTACAAGCACTCAGATGGAACTAAACAGAAATCTTTTGAATTTGAACAATAGAAATTTCGATTAAGTCGAAAAATTCCGCCTAGTGGAAAGCCGCCTTAAGTCAGTATATGCATTAGTGAATCAATAATTCGATGTAATTCGATGATCGATCAAACAATAGATGTAGTCAATAAACCTGCCGTCCAGCTATTCAATCGATAACTAATCAATATGGCAGATCTCACAAAGGCTTTCACAGCAGATTTCACAGTAGAACGTGTGTGTAATATTTAGAGGCATATTCCCGGGTAATTAATCATAACTTCGCTAGCAGATTCATCTTCCTACCAGGTTGTAGTTTGCTCTTGATATACGACAACATATCATATTTCGTCAACAGTTGAGCATAGTCCAAACCACGTACGGCGATATTTCCCAGAATTCCAACTGCTTCCACTACAAACTCTTCATCTGAGAACGTCTTTATTGCATTCGCTAGATCTGCGATAAATGGCTGAAAAAAGCAAAATGATATTTAGTAGTCAGTACACGTTTTGTGAATACATCCTTCCGGACAGTACTTGGCCTTGGCTATATACAGAGCCTCGTCTTCGTCATTTGAGATATTGGGGGTGTAGAGTCCTTTATCTTGTTCAGGGATGGATTTACTGGGGTGTGCACCCCCTAGCCCTGACCAGAGGGGGTGCAGGGGGATGCTATTTTTCATGATAAAGCCAAAAATTATTAGAGACAAAATGAGATACATTAATTTGAGTAATAACATGATGATAAGCGAACTGTGAACAACAATTACAATTCAAATACAGTAGTCAAGTAAGACTTTGCAGTAGTGAAGCAAGTTGATGGGCGGGCGGCACACATGACCGACACAACTCGGCAACATGACCGACACAACTCGGCACCAGAGCTGGCAGAGCACCCCCTACCAGATCATGCTGGATCCATCCCTGATCTTGTTACAAATACACACATTTACGAAATCATACACAGTTATATTAGATAATACAAAAAACCTTTGTCTAATTAGGTCTCTAAAGCCCATATCACAATACCGAGAACGAGGCCATATATCCAAGGCTAAGTACGTTCTGGAAAAGCCAATTAAGACGAAACGGCGTTTGTGGTAAATGTCACTCACCACAAACTGTTGTTTAGTTGGTCCATCATGTTGCGATATATTTCGCGCCATCTTTAACAAGAGTGGATCCTTAAACTTGAACGCTCGTTTCATAAGTAACCTCAAACCAGATCCCTCGCATATCAACTGAGCATTTCTCTTGTTTGCTGCCAAGTTTACAGCAAGGGCCACGAGTTCCAGAGGAAGGCGTTCTCCTTTGGTTTCCAACAACATCTTCATGATCTAAGAGATAGATTTTTTATTTAGAGGGTGTTGGTGGAACAGTGATCCAGTGGCCTTTCAGCTTTCAACAATATGCAATTATGATTGTGCTTGTTGATTGACCGTAACAAACACTGCAAGTTTTGTACTGGAACTGTGGTTTCTTCCTGTTGTAACACTGGATCAATAAGGGTTGATTCTTACTGGACCTCTAGAGAGAACAGTTTAGAACTGATACAGTAAAGTTATTTTATTTTAGGTTTCCTCCTGTAGTAATACAGGATCAATATGAATAAGGGATGACCCTTACTGGACCTCTAGGAAGAACAGTTTACAACTGATAGAGCTATCCAGTATAAATAAAGTTAGTCTAGTTTAGGTTTCCTCCTGTAGTAACACTGGATCAATAAGAGATGATCCTTACTGGACCTCTAGGAAGAACAGTTTACAATTGATAGAGCTATCCAGTATAAATAAAGTTAGTTTAGTTTAGGTTTCCTCCTGTAGTGACACTGGATCAATAAGAGATGATCCTTACTGGACCTCTAGGAAGAACAGTTTAGAACTGATAGAGCTATCCAGTATAAATAAAGTTAGTTTAGTTTAGTTTAGGTTTCCTCCTGTAGTAACACTGGCTCAATAGGGTTAATTCTTACCGGACCTTTAGAGAGAACAGTTTAGCACTGATAGCGCTATGCAGTATACACTAATTTAGTTCTTACCAGAGGAATACAGTCTGTGTAAGTAAACATGGATTTGTATCGGTCGTCCATACTGATATGATACAGAATACAGAGTACAACAATACATTGGATTTCATTGTCTGTAAAAGCAAACAATAAACAAACAATGAGTAAACCATAAAAAGATCGACCTCACAACATCTAGTTATTCTGAAGATTAACAGGCAGAGGGCCTATACACAGAATAAAGACACACAGAACGTCGACTCAGCCAGGTATATACTTCGTGTGACCCCTATTATAATGTATCAAGGCTAATCCCTAACCCACACCCCAACCTCGCCCCTAACCTCTAACCCCGACTGTGGGATATATAATCGCCCGCTCAAAATTTGCATCCACAAAAACACTTCAATTGTTTAGTTCTTAATGTTTACCCATATTGAAGATTAATCTAAACTAGCGCCGATTAACTAAATTAGCCTGCGTTAACAAAGGTTTTTACTAAAAATACCTACCAATAAGCGCTACTAGTTTTGGTACCAGACCATTTTTGACAGCTTTGGAGCGGAGTTCGGTATCAAATGAAAGATTAAGGAGAAGTCGTAAGGTGATGTTTAGAAGATCCTGTAGCGAAAAACAGCATTATTTACTCAGCTCTAAATTTCAGAAATGAACTGCTGTATTGCATCCAGAAGCTAAAGGACATAAAGTAGAATTGTACTCGCCTCGTTCTGATTTGGTATAAGGTGAGAAATCTTTTCAATAATTTCGGTTTCTGCCTAAAGATATTATGCACCAATTATAATGGTGGTGGTGATGATGATGGTAGTGGTGTTAATGATGATGATGATAATGATGATGGTGATAATGATGATGATGATGGTGATAATGATGATGATGATGGTGGTGATAATGATGGTGGTGATAATGATGATGATGATGGTGGTGATAATGATGATGGTGATAATGATGATGGTGGTGATAATGATGGTGGTGATAGTGATGATGATGATGGTGGTGATAATGATGATGATGATGATGATGGTGGTGATAATGATGATGGTGATAATGATGATGGTGGTGATAATGATGGTGGTGATAGTGATGATGATGATGGTGGTGATAATGATGATGATGATGGTGGTGGTGGTGATAATGATGGTGGTGATAGTGATGATGATGATGATAATGATGATGGTGGTGATAATGATGATGGTGATGATGATGGTGGTGATGATGGTGGTGATAATGATGGTGGTGATAGTGATGATGATGATGATGATGATGATGGTGGTGATAATGATGATGGTGATGATGATGGTGGTGATGATGGTGATGATAATGATGATGGTGGTGATGATGATGATAATGATGGTGGTAATAGTGATGATGATGATAATGATGATGATGATGGTGATGATGATGGTGGTGGTGATAATGATGGTGGTGATAGTGATGATGATGATGATGATGATAATGATGGTGGTGATAATGATGATGGTGATGATGATGGTGGTGATGATGATGATGGTGGTGATAATGATGGTGGTGATAGTGATGATGGTGGTGGTGGTGATAATGATGGTGGTGATGATGGTAATTGGTGGTAATTACAGTGATGGTAGTATCCACTACAAAGCAATACCAACAGCCTTCATTGTTTACTAAGTACAAAGTTTGCGTGTGGTAAACCACCGTTCACACCAGTCATACTTTTCTAATTACCATTTCATTCTTGTTTTCAACAAAAATACTGAGTTTTTTCAAGAAGGAAACGACGAGAATAAGTAAGTCTGAGTTATCACGATTCAATATTTTCATCAGAAGATAGACAATCTTTTTATTAATCATCTTCGCTTCGACTTTGGTGTCCTCCGATAAATTGAGCAGCAAATAGACCGTCACTAGAAACATTCAGAGAATAATGGGATTATCGCACAGGGCTCAAAATAACGGAAGATAGGTCTCTAGTCAAAATGACCGGTCAACTTGATTTTAGCTCAGTCAAAATCTGTTTTGACTGGGTCATTGATACGCTTACACTAACAGTGAAACAAACTATTAGAAACTTGTTTCGATACATCATAGTTTCATGTTTTAATTCAAGACGTCGGCAATCACATTGGAAGGCATGGAAATGTGATCGGTCAAAAAGACCAGTGAGGTAAAAAAGTGACCGGTCATTTTGACTGCCGGTCATTGTCCGTTGACCGGCCGTTATTTTGAGCCCTGATGATTGCAGCACTGTCCCTTGTTGCCGAGTGACGTTTGCGGGTATGGGTGGGTATGTTACTTGGAATGGGTGGGTGTTCAAGGTTTGGGGCGTCTAGCTTGATGGAACTGAATGAATTGACTGCCAACAATTACAAACATCTACATGTGTAATAAAATAATGTACCTCGTAGAAGTTGGTCTTGTTTTTTAGACAAATTGACGAACTTCTTGTAACTTTTCTCGTAGTCTTTCTGTAAACTTGTGTTAGTTTCAGGTAAGAAATGGTTAAGGAAAATGTACGCCTAACCCAAATCAGGGCCGGATCTGGCCTGATTTGTTAGAGGGGGTGGAGGTTTTCCAGAGGGGGGTGCATTACTACGGGGCTACGGGAGCTTTGTCCCGCAGAAAATTTTTGAAATTTGAAGCCCTGAAATGCCATTTCCTGGATTCTGAGCACTACGTTCATTCCTTAAATTTGTCCTCACAGTTCTTGTATTTTTGGGCAAAAATTAAGAAAAGCGCTTAGGTTATATGGTGACCCGCCGTATTGGTGCTTGAATACTTTCGCGTACTCGAAAATCGATTGTTTCAATATAATATGTAGTATATTCACAACTCAAATACGGAATATCTTCAAGGGGGTAGGGTAACGAAAATTTCAAAACAATCTTCCCAACAGCCTTGTTTGGAAACATGAAGATAGTTCTCTAAAATTCATGTCTGGATCAATAGAAGATTTATTTTCCAAAGTTTTGAGATAAACAGAAGTGCAAATGTACCCAAACTAAAACAGCAGGTTAAATTTTAACCCCTGAGGCCAGTTGTTCAAAGCTGGGTTAGCTTAACCCTAGGTTAAGCTAAAATTCAAAGCAAACTTCCCGACAGCTTGTCTATAAATTTGGAAATATTTCTTCAGAGATCTAGTCTGGATCGATAGGAGTTTTCTTCTCTGACGTTTTGAAATAAACAGACGTGCAGAAATACACAAACTAAAACAGCAGGTTAAATCTTAACCCAGGGTTAGCGCTAACCCACCTTTGAACAACCGGCTCCAGGTCAGGGTTAGCGCTAATCCACCTTTAAATAACAGGCCCCAGTACTGGAAACATCATTGCATCATTTATTCTGCAAACTTTTGCCGCCATTCAAAACATGAAAAGGATATCAGCCTTGTTCTTCTGCTCAAGTTCCTCCTGCCAAGTGTCATATCGTCTGATTTCATGATCTAAAATCTGCATGCACATCGCGCCAATCTTGTGATGCGAGATGATGCCGTGGAAATCAGAGAACGACGAGAAACAGAAGAACGTGTAGACAATATTTGTTGCGAGTTCCGTGCTTTTCTTCGAGTCCTCACGTAGCACTCTGGCCAGGGCACCAAGCACGGTTTCTGGAGGGAAAACAGATAAAGAATCTGATGAAATATGCCTAATGGGTGATTCCAGCTATGATCGTATATATTTGCATTACGCGCGGGAAAAATAACCATTTTTGAGCGGAAAGTGCTTATTTTTACCGCGCGTAATACAAATATATACAAAATTTGCGAACTTCACAGGGCTATATTTTCTTCATTTTACAACATTTCGCAACCAAACATTGCAATTTTACTCATTTTAAGATGCTCTTTCTAGCTGTGGTGATGGATTTCATGCTCTTTCTAGCTGTGGTGATGGATTTCATGCTCTTTCTAGCTGTGGTGATGGATTTCATGCTCTTTCTAGCTGATGGTGATGGTCCATAGCTGGAATCACCCATTGTGGTCACAAAAATAGTCTGTGTTTTTACAGCATTGTTATAATAAAGCATGAGAAATATAAAAAGACTCCATTTCACTGTCATTGTCAACAAACGATTACGATTAGCATACTTAGCCTAGATTATTTATCTTTTACAACAATTGTGATATTACTTTCTTAACTGTGTTTATCCTAACCCACCCACCCTGTCAACTTTCCCTGTGAGAGGAAACCAGAGCACCCGGAGAAAACCCACGACTTTCGGCAGAGCGTTGACTTTTACTCTTTTCACATGAGTCGGTAGCAAGAATCAAACCCACGAACTCAGAGGTGGAAGGCGCTTGTTCCGACGACAGCGCCACCGAAGCCCCCACCACATGTACAGTTGACTTAGCAGTGGAAGAAAGCATGCCTCAGCAGTGGAAGAAAGTATGCCTCAGCAGTGGAAGAAAGTATGCCTCAGCAGTGGAAGAAAGTATGCCTCAGCAGTGGAAGAAAGTATGCCTCAGCAGTGGAAGAAAGTATGACTTAGCAGTGGAAGAAAGCATGCCTCAGCAGTGGAAGAAAGTATGCCTCAGCAGTGGAAGAAAGTATGCCTCAGCAGTGGAAGAAAGTATGCCTCAGCAGTGGAAGAAAGTATGCCTCAGCAGTGGAAGAAAGTATGCCTCAGCAGTGGAAGAAAGTATGCCTCAGCAGTGGAAGAAAGTATGCCTCAGCAGTGGAAGAAAGCATGCCTCAGCAGTGGAAGAAAGCATGCCTCAGCAAAGTGACTAGTACAATACACATATAGAACAGTAAGAAGGGTCGTTTACACTTTCAATTTTTGCTGCGATTTTCGGTGCAATTTTCTTCTTCTGATGAATGTGAACAAGTGGATAAGTTATAAATGTTCAGATGAGGCATAGCTATGGATGAGGGTATACATATACTCTGAACATTTGTAACTCATCTACACGTTCACATGCATCAGAAGGAGAAAATCGCTGCAAAAATTGTAAGTGTAAACGGGCCTTAAGGACATTCAAAGCATACCATTCTGAACAATTTCTTCCATGTTATCAGGGTTCCTAGCAAGCTGCAATATAAATGCCGTTCCTCTCACTTTCTCAGGAATATCTTCATACAGAGATTCAATATATTCATCCAGATTGTTGAGATTAGCAACTTCATCTGGCTGTAAATTAAATGTATCTTGTTGTTGTGAGTCAAAGACTGCAGGGCACAATTTATTCTAGTTTGTTTTGATGAGTAAAAGGCAGCAGATACTATATAGTTAGCAATACCCAACAAACAATTCTTACATTGAGTCCTTCAAATCCAGCAGAATCTAACTGGTCTTGCAAACTAGATGACTGACCTGAAAATGAATATAATACTTTTATACAAGGCTATACACAACTTTTTCATCATTTAATTTTTTTACAAAATAATGCAAAAGTGGCAATATTAGCAAAGAGAACAGCTTGCAAAAAGTGCTACAAGGTTGGAAGGTGTTTACACAAGAATACTATAGTAAATAAAACTCCAAAGATGGCTATTCTAATATCCTTATAAATTTGAAAAATTGAGTTCGTTTTGCAGCCTGGGAATCAATCTTGGTCAATAATTTGTCAATAAGTTTGGTGCATGAATGAAGCTGTGCCTGAAATCTCTCGGAACTTACTTGTCTTAACGCTGTTTGTCCCAGTATCTTTCCTCTTCTGCAGATAATAAAGTAACTGTTCTACTTCAGGAATCTTTGAAGGATGGATAAGGTTACATTTTGCTACAATTTGCTGAGCAACTGCTTGGATATTTGATGTCGAATTTAGACTCTTTAAGCGGATTCTGTAAAAAATAAAAAGTTGTGAGGATAAAAAGTAGGGAGGTTTTCCCAACCATAAAAACTTGATATATTTTTAATTAGGGCCAATTATCATTATAGTACATTTGAGTAAGAAAGGTGGTAAAAGAGAGGGGTAAAAGAGAGGTGGGGTTTGGGAAGTGGGGGAGCTATGAAGGAAATGGCAAGTAAGGAGTGAGGGGGTTGGACAGTTGGGGGAGAGAGGATGATGGAATTGTGTGTGTGTGTGTGTGTGTGTGTGTGGGGGGGGGGGGG